CTGAGTGAGGTAACCCAGTCACAAAAAGAGAAACATGGCATGTACTCTCTCATATATGGATTTTAGACATAGATCTGGGAGTGCCAGCCTACAATCCTATTGCCAGAGAGTCTGGGAGACAGAAACTTCATTTACTGGCTGGTTAAGTACTGAGCTGAACTCAAGAAAGCCAGTATCAGAGAGGGAGGACTGATGATCAAAGGGATAAGACTGGGCTGGTTGAACCCCCAGAAACAGCTGACCAGACAAAGGTTAACTCTTGAATCCCAGGCATCAGCCTGGGAATCCAGCATGGGACTGATCAAGACCCCCTGAATCTGGGTGTCAGTGAGGAGGCCTAGGTAATCTATTGAGCCCTGGACAGCAGATCAGTACCCATCCCAAGTATACACACGGTCTCTGGACTCCCATAGAACAATGTGAGGTGCACTCTCACCCTGAACTCTTGGGGAAGGGTCTAGGCCCTGCCCTATATGAAATGACAGACTATGGACACCCCCATGGAGGGCCTCACCCTCCCTGGGGGAATGAGGGGTTAAGGGGGGATGGGGGGAGGGCACGGGAGGAGGGGAGGGAAAGGGAGAGTGACCTCGTACTGACTTGTGAAGCAACCTTGTTTCTTATCTAAATTTAAAATGGAAAATAAAAAAAATATTAATAAAAAAAGAATATTTACTATGACTTTAGAGGGCACAAAGAATTACAGAGTTATTTTAGAAACCCATTTATTCCCCCATCATTCCTTAAAAATGCAATACTTTAACCTTCCCTTCCTCTTCTCTTCCCTTCATTACTTTAAAAATAGTTGTCAGACTTGTAATGCAGGATTTATGTGTATGTGGTTTAGTTATAGTCTTTTAAAATTCATTATTAATTTACATTTAGTATTCTGTTCCCCTGATAGCAGGTATCTATAATGTTTCCTTCTTTCACTAGTCTTTGAAATGAACAATATTTCTCATAGCTGGATAACCCTAACCATCCCACCATCTTCACAATGTGTTATCTAAAGCATATTTTCATCATGCCCAAGTGCTAATATTCTGTGAGACCCACTCACAACTTACTGCTAGCCTAGAATCACAGGCACCTTCCTTGGTGTGTCCTGGAGGGTTCAGGCTCTTCCTCTTTACAGTATTCTCATACTAAAGATATTTCTTTTTGCTTTCCTAAACACATTATTATGACTGTTAAAAACTTTATATTGTTTTCTCTTGGCCTTTTAGTAGTTTACCTCTGATACACTAAATAGCAAATAAACATCAAATGAATTATTAAATAATAATTACTTTACATATTAAATTGATCTCAAGTTGCTAGTCCTCAAGTTTCTCTATAAACCCTATGTGCATGTATGTAAGTATATAATGAATAGTTAAAGAAGAAAGAAAATCTCAATATTGTCATCTTATTCAAGAAGCCTGGTATAAATTGGTGCTAGACAATTCACTAGTTTGAATGCCATTTCTTTAATTATAAGACTGCCAAATTACAAGATATCTGGGATGAAACAGAAGAAAACAAAAATTTTCATTAAGGGTTATATCAATGGGGAAAATATTGTCCCAGAGTAAGCAAGAGTTTTATGAGCTGGTCAAATGACTGATTGGCAGGTCTCTGTAAAATGAGCCTTCTGGGATTTGATACTTGAATTTTAATTAAACCGAAATTATTCATTGTTCAGTTCTAAATCCCTGAAGAGAAACTGAAAACCTTGCAGAGGGACTCCCAACAGTAATTACATGTTCTCTTGAAATTTAATTGACTTACATTACACTGATAGATCCAAAGAACAGGGAGCTATATCATGGCCCAGAGTTTCAAGGAATTAGTCAAAAGACAAAACCTGCTAAAGATAAAGCAATGATCATGTTTGTGAAATGGATACGTCAACACAATAGAAGACATTAAGTATATCTTTTAATGTAGCCTCCAAAACACCATGATAGTATCTTAAATATACTGTTAGCATTTATTTTTTCATATTGAGCGGTATTATTTTTTTATTCAAAAATATCTTTGAGAAGCATCATTGTTTAGAGTAGTCTTAGACTCACGTCTCATGATTCTCACAAGAACAACAGTGGTTTCAGGATTATTTTGTCTATTTTATTTCAATGCATTTATGACCTCATTTACCTTAGGATTTATTAGAAGGAAGATGATGTGTTTGATAAGTTATCTGTTGAGATGTTACTTTCTTTATTCTCTGATGGTAATTAAAAGAATGTATTCATTTATTTTCTTATCCTAGACATCTTGCTATTCAAGTCAGGCATAAATCACATCTTACTAGTCCTACAGGCATATAGTCTATTAAAAGATAAGAATATGTAAGATTTTAGACTTGTGGGGAGCTTTATTTTAAACTCTACCATCCAATTCTGTAAATAATGCCTCACAATTCTTTTTACTGTTGTACTTTCTTTGATCTTCATATCTGATGCTGTTGTTGGTGAATTCACTTCTTGTATTTACCTATATTTTGTAAAAGGCTATTAAATAAGACACAAAAGATAGAAATGCAATCCACTCTAAGGACAGATATATGCTAGGGCAGCAGACCGAATATTTCCCGTGTCCTTAGTGGAAGTTAGGGGCTTAGATGTGTTGGAGGTGTAGAAACTAAGGTAGCCAGTCCTGGCTCCCATTCCTACAACCCAGCCCAAAATTTCTAGTTTGGTTTCTGTTGCTGTGGAGAGGAAACTTTTATTTGGCTTAATGGCTCATCATTAAGGAGAGTCGAGTAATCTCTGAAAAGGTTATGTTCTTGTGATTCATTGAAAAATTTATCAAAGATAGAAAAGTGTCAGAGGGATGAGGCATGGGCCTGACAATTTTTCAGAGAATTTCTTAAAATAACAACAACAGCAGCAGCAACAACAAAAACAGCATATTATGTTACCAACCAAAGGCCCTTCCTACTAGTATTATTCTTATAAATAGACATAGTATTACACTGTATAGTATTCAGATTTATTGTATATCATAGATCATTGTGTTCCTCAAGCTCCACCAGAGAAGCCCCTTCTGCAGTAGGTATGAAAACACTGAGACCCCGAACTAGTCAAGGTACAGAGAATAAGAAACTGCAAAATGATCAGTCAAAAATGGGACATCAGTACCATACCCATCCTCCTCATCTCTGGAATCATTGTGTGAAAGTGTCTGAAAGACTGTAAGAGCCAGAGGTGCGGGACGACTATAGTGTTTTATGTATACAGCAGGGAAGATGGTCATGGTAACTCAGGTCTGAGACACGGTGCCCTATACCTGCACATGCTAAATTCTGACAAAATTCTAGCATGTAGAAGGGAAGTGGTCAATAAGTTCTAACATTAGCTAAGGAATAGTTGGCAACTGATAACTCTGGAAGAAGGAGAATATTTTTCTCTGATGTGTATGATGCCCTGGTAGGCCAGCTATGTTCCAACTGAAGGTCATACTTCCAGGAATATATGGACAGTGCAAACTGTAGTTGATAGTTATAAAAAACAAAGGAACAAAATAGAAGTGTCAAAGTTGAGCATGTAAGGAAGTGGTTGGCTTGAGTACAGTTGTGGGATGAGGTAATTATAATCAAAACATGTTGCACAGAACTCTTAAAGAACTAATAAAATAAGAAAAAGTTGCTGTAGCTGGGAGTTGAAAGAATAAAAAGGAAGGGCTCATATCTTAACACAGAAAAAAGATGCAATAAATAACCTTTTCCCAATATACTATAAATGATAAAAACACAGACATATTGATTCCAGTGAAGCACTGTTTCTATCTGGCTATATAAACAGTGAAGTGTAGCTGCTACCTTAATGCCCACAGCAGTAGATACTTCGTGAACATAGTTGGTAACTCTGTATCTTTGTAATCTTTTATTTTCATGTAAAACTATATTTTTTAAAAATTAGGAAGTGGTTTGGCAAATGAATGAATTTTTCCCAAGGGGTTCAGTAAATTACATTTTATTCAATGCTAAATATATATTAAAAAGTATCATCCTAGAAACTTTAATTTCTTATTTTAATACTGCATAGACACTTATTTTGAATGTTGGAGGACAAAGAGCAGTCTTATTACAATTATCTAATATATATAAAATATAAATGAATAATACTAAAAACGTGATATTAAGCTAATTTGCATTATTATATAAATACTATGGGCTATTTTGAAGATGAAAGCATTATTCGCTTTTAAAATATGCAATTACATAAGGGCAGCAAACACGCACACACACACACACACACACACACACACACACACACACTCTTCCATCTAGAAGTATCCTCAGATAGATGAGAATCAGTTAAGAACCTGTATAGTAACTCTGCAAAGATTTCCTTACTTAGAAAAAAAGTAGGGAATGTTGACAACTTTTGTGGTTTGATACAGATCTCAGTATTTTCTGTACTTTGCTCTTCGCAATCTCCTAGGTCAAAATTTCAAGGTCTGTAAGACTATGGACATGCTTCCAGGTTGAAAAGTGTTATTTTTCAGTTATTATTATTGACTTATGCCTGTCCTGTTTCTGATTTTTTTCTGCCATTTTGGACTTCTATCATGAAATGCACAGATATTTAGATTTGTATGCCTTCATGTGGATCAACTGTTAGCATACACAGTGTCTCTTCTATTCCTGGAATTCCTCTCTCTGAAGCCCACCCTTCCTCATACTGATAACAGTATTTTGATTAGTACTGTCATGATATAATTTGGTCTAACCTTTTATTTTATTTATATTTCTTAATTTGAAGCTATTTTATAATGAATATTATAGTCTAATTATGTTTTATAATATAATTGCCATCAAATGGCATTAAATATTTTTTATGATTTAAATAAGTGCAAGTTAATGTGCCAAGCTTACTCTGTGGGACAACTAGCATACTGTTTGTTATATTTTTTTCTTGCCTCAATTTTACTTGTATAAACAACATAGGGCACTGACCACTCAAATAGTGTGTATTTGTGTCACCACAGTCCATCTGTCTTTATTTTGGCAGACAGAAGTCTTTTCTAAGTGGCCTTCAAAGAGCTTGAGTGCCTTTGGGAACCCGAATCTTGGTCTTTGGTTTTCAAAGTCTACATCCCTTGGCTGTGGAGCTTCTAATCTCCTTCCCCAGCTCCAGGTGAGCAATGACAGCAAGATGGGTGAGTTTGAGGTTAGAACCCTTTGGCATCTTGGCCTTAACTTTCTTGGCTTTCACAAGGGTCTTGAGGGCCTCTGCAATGCTCTGATTGCCTTTGCCTGATTTGTGTTCATCATCATCAGGCCTTTCTTGTTGTGTTCCTTGGCATGTTCCATGAGAATTTGGGGTCAAGCCCTGAAGAGATTCATATTATTGTGCCTGGCACTTCCTGGCGCCATTTCTGTGCTGTTTTCAGAACTGCTTGCATGTGGTGTGGTGTCTGGAGTTGGCCATGTCTTCATGGTAACCCATAGCTCCTGAAGCACCACTGGTGCCTGCCTTCTCCTTTTCCTCCTTCTTTTGTTTCTGTTCAGGAGTATTTCTCTTGCTATATTTTTATTTGTGGATCATTTTAAACAAAAACTGATTATTTTGTTAATTTGTATGACATCCTATACAATTTTATTATCACATTACTGTTTTATCATTCTTTTATTATTAAGATATTATTTAGTCTTTACAGTTAATGCATTGATGACATAATCTTTAGGCAATTTGTCCAGTCTGTTCCTACCTTAGTCACCTGCAAATGAAAATAAGTGTCCTTAGGTCTTAGAGCTATTTGGAAGATAAATTCAGCTACTATTTGTAGAGTACATGAATGTTGTTTGCACACATGAGAGTCCTCCAGATATGACAGCTGTGAGTGTTAGTAATTAATGGCTAGTTGTGCAACACATGTAAAAATAGAAATAAAACCTCAAAAGGTATGCTTAAATTTTAAAATGCATTTTTGTTGTTTTTCTGTTTTAAACTCAAATTGCATAATATGCTCACTGATTGCTACACATTCAAGGCTGATTTCACAATTTAAATTGTTTCAGTTAACAAATCAAGGACTTGGTATCCTTAATTTCAAATGTCACGAGCCATAAAACATTACTGGATATATAGGTTGAAAAATAGCTATAAAATGTTGAAGTGTATACCTTCATTTTATGCATAATCTTCTGTAGTAGATGATAAAATGCCACATTAATTTCTTCTGTTATCTCAAAGATTCAGATTATGCACTATTCTTACATTCACTTCAAGTGTTTTACACAGGGAAAAATAAAAATCAAAAAATTTACATGCTAAATAGATGCTAAATAGAGTTGTATTGAATACAGAATTATGGTTTACTGAATGTGGGTTACAGTGAGACTCAGTGACAGACTGCAGCGAAGTACAAATGAGCAAATCGCAATTCCCTGGCCTGAAGGAAAACAAAATAAAACAAAAGCCTTGACAGCAAAAAGAGCTAAGACAACAACAAAAAATATGAGTGATTCCAGCTAATCAGTACTTACAACAGCGATTTGACACAGTTGCAATTATGTAGCTATGCCATGCACTAAATGTCCCATCTGCCTTTTTCATTAGTCCAGTGTCATGTGACTGTTCCTTATCAAAGTGAATGGTTATGACTGACACTTTAGTGTGGGTCTGCAGCTCTTCAGGCCTTTTCTTTTTCTGCTTTGAAACAGGGTGCTACTGTGTAGCCAGGCAGGCCCTAAACCTCCAAAGCCTCCTGTCCCCGCCTCCCAAGCAGTGTGATTACAGGTCACACTCTTTCTACACATATCTCAGAGGCCACAGATTAAAGCTGGAGCTTCAAAATTGAACTCTACGTTGACAAGCCCTAATTTGGAGGATTTCAGACCTTTCTATGATGTTAGGCAATCTGGAAACTATGTCCTGTCTAAGTTAGTGAGCTTTGTTGTGTTGTTCCCACAGAAAGCCATCTCCAACTCAGACTGATGTAGCAACAGCAGAGTTCAACTTGGTTTTCTTCTGTAGCAGCTCTGTGTTGCTGGCAGCTGCAAGGAAACTTCCTTGGTCACATTAGCGAATGATTATAAACCCTTCCACCTAGCGTGAAATAATGCAGTGTCTTTTGACTCTCGGTGAAAAGACAGAAGTGACTATCAAAGAAATGTCACTTTGGAGTTTCAACGTTGACAAAGGTAAAGACTGTGAAATGCTCATCTTTGCTCTTGCTATGGCTGCTTGTTGTCGTATCATAGACTGCACATTCCTACTACCCTGGGAAAAACCATCTCTGAATAAATCAAGTTGCCTTTTACTGTTTAAGCAGCATTATAAGCTTCTGATTCTACCAATCCTTTCACATTTCAAGAGCTATGAAAATTAAATGCATGCTACAATTAGCATGCCTTATAACTGTACTACTTAACGCTACTGTGCCTTAAAATTGGTGTGATTTTGTATCAAGCATTAGTTTTATAATAAATATTTATAGCACATTATTAATTGTTCATAGGCTGTAATTATAAATTTTCTTATTTCAAAACTTACATGATTAGTTCAAAGTAACTATTTTTAACTATTCCAGTGAAAATAATGGTAGATATTAAAGAGAATTTTATTGTATTAAAGGTTTATTTACTTTTACTTTATATGTCTGAGTGTTTGCCTTCATTTCTTTACCTCCAAGTTATACATGCATGTCTAGTTCCTGCAGTGGCTGGAAAAAGACATTGAATTTCTTGGAACTGGAGCTACAGTGAGTTGGGAGTTATCACTTCAGTATTTAGAACTGAAGCTAGGTCCTCTACAAGAAAAGCCAGTGCTCTTAACTACTGAGTTGTCTTTCAGAGTTAAAGGATATTTAACTTATTAAAGGACACCCATGTAACTATTATAAGAGAGTGCCAAACAAGATAACAAGATAATAATATGATCGCAACATAGTTGTTTACAGACCATCCTGGTTTACATAGTAAGCCACAACCAGCCAGAGCTATATAGTGAGCTACAGCCATCCAGGGTTCCACAGTGAGATTCTGTAAAAAATATGAAAAATAAAGTTGTATTTCTCATTATATTTCTGACTTACATGACTTTCACTGTATTTACACTAAATCCCAGAGAATGTCTAGTCTTGGGGCCTGACAAGTATGAAGGAGTGAGTATGATTTCAGTATATTTGCAACTATGCACAAGAGATTTTGAAATTTTTCCGTAAATAAACCAATTTCTACAAGATGTTTCATTTGGTTTTAAAATAGTTTTTGAGAAGGAATTGTACACTGTGGTTCATTTGATCACATGTCACTGTCCGCTGCAGGCTGGCTTCAAATTTGCCTGTCTCCCTCCTGTTATCTCACAGAGTTCTTCTTGATTAAGTTTAATGAAGCTCCCAACCTGGCTGACACATTCCTCCCGGTCTCAGCACACTGAACTCCACCTTTTGGTACTTCCTGCAAATAATTTTGTTAACATCTGAATGGCATGCAGGCTTTCGTTAGCCTTTTCAGGATGGAGCACATCTAATTTTTAAATACAGTATCTCTCCAAACACTTTATATTAAAATGTATACCATATTTATTCAGAGTCCACATAAATGAAGTTTGGAGATAATGTCAGATCAAGACTCAGGTGGCATAAAGTACTGTCGTCTTTCCTTTATTACTGCAATATATCTTTCAGTAGCCTGGATAATGCATGGAGGATATGGATAAACCATAAGCTTATTTATCTAGAAGGAAATGAATGGAGATATTTTAATTTGTTAATGACAATAAAAGGGATAGATAGTCACTATGTGCTGGAAGGTACAAGGGAAAGAAAAAATCCTCTGTAGACCAATACAGTACTTTGAAAGAATGGATTTAGGTTTCAGGAGCTCAGGCAGTTTTCATATATTTCCCTACTTTAATGGGAAGAGTCAGCTTATCTGGAAAGTGTAGGCCACCTGGTACCACCATGAATGAATGTGGCGTGGCGTGATAGTAAAATCTGAGTGATCTGAAAGAAGCCTCACTGTGAGAGAACAGGGCACATATAAAGTTTACAGGAAAACAGAGAACTAAATTACAACATGGTTTTACTCAGTCATATTCAGACTGGATATTGATAATGCATTAAACCATGTTTCTAAAACACACACACTCACTAAAAGTGGTATCCAAAGCACATTTCACTAACATAACCTTATAAAATAGATACTTGTCTCTAAATGTGACATTTTGTCTTCAGAATTTTAATATGCTGCTTCTAACAAGAATTGAAATAATAATTTCCAAGTTTAAAATAATTACTTTTATGAGAAAAAAGAGACATGAATCTTGAGATTTTGTTATAAATTTTCTTAAAAATATAAGTGCTTCTACTGACAAAAGGCTAATTTTTGAATTTCTGAATTGAATAGCTTTGAAGATCTGTCAGAGCATGGAAGCAGGTGATTACCTCAATTTCATGGCCAGCCTGGACTGCAGAGCAACAACAACCATTTTTGAAGAGTCCTTTAAATGTCATGCAAACGCAGTATGTTGATTCACTATTAGCAACATAAATATAATCACACTAAAAAGGAGTAGATGAGTGACAATGGGAGCCTGAAGTGTTTCTTTCAAATTTTAATGATGGTAGTTGTTCATATTATTACAATTTTGAAGTCTTAAGGAGGAATTCACTATCTATATTTGTAATTTTTGTGTGCTAATAAATTTATTTCACAAAGAAGGTGCAGGTAGTTACTACTTGTTGGCTGAGTTAAGTTGGAGCTGTTCATAAAGACTCTTCATATGAATACCCATTGAGGTCAGGAAATTACCAAGCAGCTTTGGGGAAGTGATCTCAAGGGATGGGAGATAGAACACACTTTAAAGTGTTAGAAGTGAGTAATGGAGCAGAAGTTTAAATTGGTTGGTGGTGGGGACAGAGCAGAGGAGGAAGTATGAGGAGGGGCAAATAATGTTAAAAACAGAAACCTACCAATGTGCAAACTTCTTTCTCTGTCTCTTTCATGAAAAAACAGTCACCCTATAACCAAACATATGACAGAGATTAACAAATAAAAATTTCAGTGTCAAGAATGGTTTATTTCCTTTATAATTGGTGGCCAGTCAGGTCCTGTTGACCTTCAGACATTACAGGCTACCGCTACTGCTCTTGATTGCCCTTCCCAAAATGACAGTAAGTCCCTATTGCTCAGGATATCAGCTAATTTTGTCATAAAACATGGAGAAACCAAGCTGGAAGTTTTATAGTTTTTTTCTAGTTTTCCTTATACTGAAAGGTTTAGGTAAGCTACTGGAGGAGAACAGTAATCCTCAATCATATCCAGTAGTGAACCCTAAGAGCTACAGTAGACACAACCATGGTAGAGGTATAATGTTGCATGAACACCAGAAAGCAACCAACTACTTTTCAAATGGATTTTAGTCCTATTCTATAAGATGACACCTATTTCTGGTACCATTACCAGGATTAAAAATTTACAGGTAGGGCAGACTCTTGGTTCTAGGGAGAGTATAGTATTATTATCCTGCTAAGTGACCTTAGTGTTAAAACCCAGTCTGATGACATCATTATACTCATAGATTAATGTCTCTCTCAATCCTCATCTCAGCAGCTTCTATTTATAGTAGATGATGATTAACACAGAAGACCACATCTGGCTCAGGTGAAGAAATTAAGTATGTGGAGATTCTCAGCTCTGAAATGAACATGTATGTGTTCAAAGGCTCAGTGATCATAGATAGAGATGGTAAAAAAGAATATAGACTCCAGAGGTAGTGAATGACTACAAGACTTCCGGACCAAATTGCACCTATGAATTCACAGTGAATGCAAGAGCATGTACAAAACTGATGCAAGCCGGAACCAGACCAAATCCTAGCATGGAGACTGCGTACTTTGAGCACGAAGTCAAACCATAGATGTGCAGTGATTTACAATTATTTATTATTGGAAGAGGGAGAGACTTCTGGGTCCTGATAAGTCAACCATGATAAAAAAGACAGCCACCCATCCAAGAATATCTGGGCATTGCACATTGATCTCCAAGTGTTAAAGAAAAAAAATCAGGTGCTCATAGATATATAGATTAATATCAGGGTCTAAGATTTGATTCAGGATTTATCCCTAGCTCTTGGACTGGTTTCTTGGAGCCTGATCTCTTTGGAGGGATGCATTGCTAAGCCTAGATATGGCGGTGGGGGGAAGGAAACTTTGTCCTGCCTCAAAGTGATGTGCCAGAGTTCCTTGACTCCCCATGGGAAACCTGCCTAAGAAGTAGATGGGAATTAGGGTTGGGGGAAGGAGGGTATAGCAGGAGGAGGGGAGGGAGTGGGAACTGGGATTCGTATGTAAAATGAGAAAAGGTTGTTTTTTAAAAAACTGATGAAAAAAGAAAAAGAAACTGATGGGGAAGTCCTGTGTATATGTCAATAAAGCACTGTTGGCTAACAGGGAAGCAAGATAGGTGGGACTAGGAGTTGTGGAGGATTCTGGGAAGGAGAGACACAGAGGAGTCATGATGTAGCCACCATAGGAATAAGAGGTCTGGACCCTTTTCTCCGGTAAGAGAAATAATTAGATTAACAATTATGGGGTAAATACTTAAGTCAGAGATAGCCAGTGAGAAACCAAGTAAACGACTAACAGCTTTATAATTAATATAGCCTCCTGTGTGTTCATTTGGGACTGATGCGGCTCTGGAACCAGGCTGATGAGAAGGGTGCACTCTACAAGAAACAAACAAAAAAGGACAGGAAGTTGGGTGGGTAGGAAAGGAGGTTAGATATGGGAAAAGTTGGGGGAATGAATATGATAAAAAATATATTGTACACAACTGCCAAAGAACTATACAAATATTGTTTTAGGTGTAGGCCAAGGCAATAGTGAATGAGTCATACTGAGGATGAATGGCATTTTTAGCAGAAAATTCTTGACGAATTTCTGATCAGGCAAGATACCACAGGACTATTCTTTGGAATGATTAGAGACTGTGCTTTACACATATAGTTGCTATGCAACTAATGGGCATAATTCAGTATGGGAGGCAAATGATGTTGGAAGGGTAAACTACTTAGCAGTTCCCTTCAATATGCATCCTCAAGAGGGTCCACCTACTCTTCAAAATTAGAAGTGCAGAAAATTTGTTCCAATGTTTGACATCTATACTTAAAATAAAGAATAAATACATAACTGTCTGACATTTTCTTGTCATTTTCTCTGTACATTTCAGGGAGAGATTTGTTTTTATTTTCTTGATATTTTATATTCTGTGCCAATACTGAGCCCCCGATCATCATAAACTTTGCTGAAATTGCCTGCTAAGGCAAATGTTATTAACATTAGTAAGACTGACAGTCTGACTGATAGCCTAATAATAATAATTATTATTTAACTTTTTATTTGCTACCTAAAGCATAAGAGCACTAAGTAGCTTTATAATTCTTGTTTCCATTGGAAACCAGGCTAAATGCAATAACAAGACCATTAGCTTTGTGTAGTCCATTACACCATCGCCCTTTCATGCTATATTTTTGTGCAGAATTGGTGTCGTCGTTGATAGAACAAAACACTCTGCTTCATTATCTGCATTCAATTTTCATAAATATCTACGTTGGTTACAAAATACAGTGCTTTTACAGAGAGCTGCCAGGATTATTTTAAGTCCTTTTAAATAATTTTTCAGAGGAATGAAGATGATATGTTGCTAAATAAACTCATTCTAATTATCTTTACAACATAGCACATGTTAAGAAACACAATTTCATGTTTATAAATACCTTTGTATTTATATTTACAAATATACATGCCTGAATGCTCAATGTATGACAGAATAAAACTCAATTTTATGTAAATAATAGAAATCATGAGGAAGATCTGCAGAGGTTCTAATATAAATAGAACTCCATTTATTAAAAATATATAGATTTGTGTGCATATATATTCTACTATTGGGTATTAGGCTATTTCTAATTCTGAAAAAGACTTTTATTACAAGTTAAAAGAAACAATGTTACAAAATTATAAGCCACCTATTCAAAATACATGCATAATCAATAAAAAATTGAATAACGGAATTGACAACATAAAATAAATAAAAATTTCTCATAGTATATTATAACATAATATGTCATTGAAAATTAATAAATTACTACATTAAATAATGTCAAAATTGACTGCCATATCATTGGTCAAAAAATGAATGTATTTAAATCTTTTGAATGGATTCATTAACATTTAGTAAGTAGTAAAGTTTTTTTTAACCATTGAAGTGACTGGTAACTTTTAAATTTGCACACAGCTGATGAGTTTGATTAGTTCGGAAATATGCATATATGCATCTCATCATCAATACAGTTAATAAGACACCATATCTTTTACCTCTGTAGATTTTTAGTTTCTTTTGCCTCTGATTTTCTCATGTGTGTTCTTGTATTAAGAACATTTGAAACAAATTATTGCATTTAACATGTTAGCTATGTGATATGGCATTGTAAACTATATTGATGATGAAATTATTTATTTTGTGTACCTAGTAATGTGCAAATGTTAAACCATTTTCCATTTTCCTTTCTTCTAGCTTCCAGAGACTAGAATTCCACCTTGTGTTTCTGAATGTGTGACAAGGTCAGAAACATCATATAAATGGAAGCCCTTTCCCTTTGGAGAATGGCTTACATCACATATCATAATAGCCTTTAGTTTCTCTCTGTAACCTTTGGCCATGCCAGGGGAGCAGCAAATGGCAATTGAAGACCATGGTGTCAGCCTACCAGAAGGAAACTTTCTTATGGGCCAATCTTGTTTTGGCAAGGCCACAGAGCTGCAGACCCTGAAGTGTCTTTTGCTGCCGCTGTGCCCTTACATGTCTGCAGCAGCTCTCTGTCTGGTATCTAGTATGGCACGAATATATATATATATATATATATATATATATATATATATATATTGCCTGTAATACAGTATATTTAGCTCTTGGAAACATCCCACTATACTGAGCATTTTTACCTGTGGATTGTGAAGATGACCCCTCCCTAACCTGTACAGTCAAATTTGATAATAATAATGATAGCCTCTAGATTAATAAACACAAATGCTAGGATATGTTCACAGTTAGGCCTATGACTTCCAACCTTAGGATTTGCTCAGGTTAATGCTTAAAAGGCAAGCACTTGAGTCCAGGGGCCAGGCTGGGTCTAATTCTCTTAATGCTGAAAAGAAGCAGTCATGTACCATTAGCAAAATAAATGCTACAAAATAACTTCAGGTTAGACCTTGCTAATAGTTTTAAGATAAAGAACTCCATAAAACAAACCAAAGTTCACAAGGACACAGAGCTGAGCTGTTTGACTCATTAGGCTAGGGTCAAAAATACAAACCAGACTGATTGGTGCTAGCTCCCCTTCCTAGGTCAGGTTAATAATCAAAAGTGATGATTATACCTATTTCTACCCTCAAATTGCTGTTATATGTCTGTCTGTCTGTATGTATGTGTGTATCTCAATGAGTAACTATGCACCCTAAATACTTAAAGTAGAGCTGACTGATTCTTTTTCATATACAAAAGTTTAGGTTAGTGATTTCTTATAAGATTACCTTTCAAGATAAGCAATAAAGTAATTGGCCCTTTCTCTGTAATTGCAAAGTGCAGCCTGTCACTAAAACACTTGACAAGAACACTTTGCTTGCCCACACAGTTATCTATAATAAGTTGCTTGGAT